GGAAGCGAATCAATCGGCTGATCGTGGCCATAATGTCATTAGTAGCTAGATGATAAATTGAACATGATTCGGTACTAACATTTTAAACAACTGCTGATCGTTTTCGTATTTGCTTTTGAAGTGTACAGTGTACACTGTACACACAAAAATGACGACCAATTTGTCCAAAAAAAATTGACTGTTTGCGTTATTTGTTTACATTTGGTTGTCGTTTAAGTTTGTTTTTTCGGCATATTTTTTATTGTTCCCTCTTCCGAGTGCTCAACACGTTGATGTCATGCGACACAAATGTCGATTTCGGGAAACCAATTCGAAAATAATTCCGTTCCGATTGAGAACGCGAGAGAGAGAGAGAAGAGAATACTGTTTAATAAAAACGTAGTATTGATACCAATTGGAGTGGCTTTAATTTGTATGTATGTTCGAATAGTTGGTTACTATCGCTAATGTGCGGCGATAAGCGTCCCAGAAATAGTATTTATGATTAGACTTTTAATTAAATTTCATGCTCATCCAATGCTCAAATTTACTATTTATTCTTGGTATAGCGAACCAAAAACTATGACAAAGCCATCCATTGTCAAGCGATTTGATGTTTTTGGTTATCTTATCGTTTTTTTTGGGAAAGCAGAAATTATTATATGTTGGTCAAAAGTACAGATTTTTTGTTTTGTTCGTTCATATTTCGAATTCACGACAGTTGTGAAATGTCTTTTCAACACAGGCTTCATTCATATGTGGTTTCAGGGGCAAATATTATCATCGAAATATTGTTTATGTTTGTGACTCTTTTCGTTGGATTGGTTTGAGTTTCGGGCTATTTCACAATCTCGGCTTTGGATCGGTATCGATTGGGATCGGTTTGGAAAAAAAACGACACTCTAAATACCTGCAATGGCCAGGTACTTTTTCGTACAGATTTTATCCTGCGATAAAGGTTTTGGACTTTGTGCAAAACAAATTACAACGGAGCCTCTGCAAATGGAACTTGAATTGCAAACCTTTCGAAAAATGCATACGAGCAGAGCGCGCACACAAAAATGCAATGAAGCGATTTTACCACAGCCGATTATCGCGCCGGAATATTCGCCTTTGTTTTGTACGCGCCGCAGTGCGCTCTCACTCAATCGCGTCCCGTTGATCAAATTGAGAAAAAGGAAAGCTTCGACCAAATGATATCGCATATGTTAAAATTACATAAACATCCCATTAATTAATTACTCTTTCTCGGTGAACCACAGAGCCAGCCAGCCAGCCAGGCGAGTTTGCGCCGGGCAACAGAACATTCGACCAAAAAATATACCGTTTTGAGTTTGGTGAAAGAGAGAAATACTCTAAATAAAATATTGGCTCGTATTCAAAGCACATTCAACACGAAATGCAAAGTGAATCCGTTCGAATCGCGCGCCGCCAGTTCGATTCACAAAAACAAAACACAACAGGAGAGGAGAAAAAAACAATCTGCAACAACAAAGAGCGGTTATCAACACACATAAATCAAGTTATTTACGATAGTTATCTTTTTCGGGGAGTTGAACAAGAATAATTTATGTGGTTTGTGCGACTGCGCGCACATGTGAAATGCACTATCGAGCAGGAAGTATTTGACGAATACAACAACAACAATCAAATATGGACAAAAGCCCAAGCATAATAAAAGAGATATCACTAGCATAACCATTGTGCACTGGCTCAATCAGGCGTGCGTGCGCGCGCTCTTTCGCCCCAGAAACAGTACGATTTTCGTTGCTCACACAGTCAAACAGGCCAAGCACAATTGCAGATAAGAAAAAATTGGTTTCATGTGAATGCAACAGACGGAAAAAAAATCAAACTAAATGTTGCAATTCAAATTTTTAGCATACATTTTCGAGAGAGAGAGAGAGAAACGTTAATCGATCGCCATTGGATTTTCGATATAAGGCCTGTAATATTTATTTGATTTCTCTCCATTAAGCGGTGAAAATGCACCGCAATTACCTCCCAAAAAAAGGTCCGTCACTTAGTATTTTTCCGAAGAAGGAAAAAAAAACGTGAAATTCCGTGGAAAAAACTGCGGTGATTTCGATCGTTGTTCGATGCATCGGTCTCAAGACGACAATTTTACCACATAAAATGCCCATATATGGAACAAAATTTTTATGTAAAAATATTTCGCTTCTTTCTCTCTCTCTCTCTCACACACAGACAAATTTTCCCGATAAATGTGATAATTATGGCGTTGGATGGTTTGGCACGTAAGCATTCGATGTGCTTGGCCACGCAAAGTGGTTGCGAAAATGTTAATGGCCACAAGAAAAAAAAGAATGAGATGCTAATAAGGATCGAACTGCCAATTGATGACCACCGGATTCATTAATGAAGTTGCGAACGAAATGCGTGTCGTCAACGACATTACAGAAATTATGATTTTTTCACATAAAATGTTGTTGGTTTTGTTTTTGCGCCCTCGTTTGTTGTTATCATAAAATGTTCGCTGATGCGGTTTTGATCGTAAAATGAAAATTAAGAGTACCGTTTCAAATTTACGAAGAAATGAAGTGTCGACAACACCAAGTGTGTGTGTGTGTGTAACAAATAACAAATTGTTTTGAAAAACACAACGGTTAATTCTGGCTGACTCTTGCGAGCGCGAATGAGAAATGTTCGGCCCACGTTGAAATTGTCTATTGTGTTTAAAATCGCACAAATAAACGTACTCCACTCTTCGGGCATACTCTCTCAATAACCTGCTAACGAACCGAACTGTCGAGAAACGACAGCGTTACAACGAATTAGCTCGGCAATCAATTCAAATATTGACATTTTCAAATACGAAAATTTACGAATGAGTTTGTTGTGGCCTGTTTTTTCGTTAAATGTTTGAATGAGCATTTAAATGCATTCTTCGTGCTCATTTTCTTCTTGAAATAGGTTTACAATTCGGTTTTATTTCTTCTTCTTTTTTTCGCACAACTCTGACAACGACCAAACCAATGATTTCGTTTAATAAGTCACGACTTTGTCAAATGTGACAAAAATACTTCAACCACAATCGAAGCTTCGGGCCTGACTTTGGCTTGCAGTCTATATTTCACCGAGCGATACAATCGTCTTTAACAAATCGATACATTTGTTATATATATGTATGTGTACGATTTAATGAATGCATGCAATTATTCATTCCAACACGAACGCCTGTCGTTCTCTGAAACCAACAGTTGTTTTTCTCTTCTTTATTCTTTCGCTTTACATCTAAATGCAATTTCAGACGCGAGACTTCAACAAACCGATCTATTCATGTTTGAAATAGACTTATAACAATTCTCACGCATTGTATCCATCACTCGAAGTGCATCGCCATTGCATTTTCATTTGGGGTATTTGCAATGGGGAAATGTTTACACTTTCTCAATTCAATATTTCGTTTCGTTGCTCGTCAAAAATGTTCTAAGATTTGAATCTTGTGCGACCATTTCTCTCTCCTCGCTTACACCATTCGGAATGCGAAATGCTATAAAGTAAATGCGCAATTCAACGCTGAATTTCAAGCTCTTATGAATGCAAAAGACCATTAATAATTTTGTAAAATGATTTGGTTTGTCTTTGGGCTCAAGCGTGTGCGAGCGAAGGAGTATAAAACGATTGCGTCGCAATTTTCAATTTGTATGGCAATGCGGATAATAGGCATGGAGATTTATGTAAATAGTGAGAAGCAAAAATCTAGTAAACCACACACTCTCTCTCTCGAGATCGCATATTTTACAATCGCTAACACACAAATCACATGACACTCATTCACTCACTCAACACATCAATGAAGTCGAACAATTCAAGCATATTCATCGTCATCTCCCAGTCGCAACACATAAAACTTCTAATTATTGCTATTTTTGTACTGACATTCCAATTCAATTGGAAATTGTTAATTGTAATTAATGTTCATTACACGGTGAATAATGTGCACGCTTATTGTTTTTGTTGTTCCGTTTCTACGGCCTGCTGCTGTATGGAAAAAAAAGTGAACGGTCTTGGTCAAATCATTAATCAATACAGTTTTATCCGTCTTGAATATTTCGCAAATGGCTCACGTCAACTGTCGTATTTGCATAGCCGCTTAAAGGCTACACATACTGGATTGCCGCCTTGTTTTGTTCTCTGTTTGCTCGTTATGCGCGACTTACTGAAATCGCGTCGAGTGTTATTACTGCCGCAGTTGAAGGCCCGTCAATTTGCGATATCAATGATTATTTCTGGCCCGAAAAGAACCAAGCAACGAACGAGCTTTTAAATAGAACGTCATAATATTTTAATTTAAGAGTTCTTAACGATACATTCAGAAAGTTTTGTAATTATGTCGTTTCATTTAATGAAGTTTGTTGTTGCTGTTGTTGACGATGATGATGTGAATGTATCTTGAGAACGTCTCGAATTTTTTTCTCTCCTTTTGCCCATAGTAAAAATAAAGCATGACCACAGAGAGCGAAACGACAGAAAAAATTGAATGATATATGATTCAGTTACACGGTGTATATTTCAACATGGTTCCGTCTTGTTCAGGCCCCGTATCACTTTTTTAGGAACGTTCTTTTGATTAATATTTTTCATTCAAAAAGAAATCGATACCTGTCAAATGAAACTCGATTAATACATAAATCATCTGCGGCGATGCACACACACATACACGCGATATACACGAAGTGATTTCGGCTGTGAGAGAGGTCCCCTTTTTTCTCATGCATGCTTTTCTCTCTCTCTCTCTCTCCCTCTCTCTCTCCCTCTGAGGCGTGCGGTCGCATTCGCTCAAACGGCGGCATACATCAAACGATTCCTATCGATAGCTGTGCATCATAACACTAAAACTGCGTTTAATGTGTCCGAAAATTCTCCGATTTTTTTTTCTTCAGTTCTTTTTAATTGATTGCGGTGGTCATCGTCGCTTTCTCCCAAAAAAAAAACATAAAGCATTATTCATAATTTTACTAATGTATTTTTCATGTTTGTTTCTTTTCAAATTGCAGACCATTTTTCTCTCTCTATCTCAACCTCTCCCTCAGTGTCAGTTCTTGATGGCAAGCCGATGAACATTCAATGGAGCGGAAATGTCCCAAATGCGTGAGATAACGACGATAAATCGGAATTCAAATTCTGATGCGTCTGAAAAGTTGACCAATGGATCGACCGACAACACCACCGCCACATCAGCAGCAGCAGCAGCAGCAGAAGCAGACCAATACTCACTGACAAGTACAATCGTTAAAAGTGATCGCAACAATAATAATGTGATGAAAAAGTCAATGCCACCGCCGTTACCGCCAAAGAGACACCAGCTACGGACCAGCAACAACAGCAACAGCATAACGGCCAAAACAAACACCGATCCAGTGGTGGATAATAATCGCAGTCAATCAAACGGCGACAGCAGCGGCACATCACACGATGCTGTAATAAATCATAACCACGGGCCAAATGCATTGATTGCCCAAAGCAATGAATTGCACAACAAATTATCCAATGTATCAATGTACGAAGATAACGGCAACGGCCACACCAATGGACGGAAAGGTCAACCAAATCGCAATCGTTTAGATAGTGTCACCGATAGCAAAAATGATCTGAAAACAGCTTCTGGTTTCAACGCTGGCACCGTTTCAAGTGATAACAACAAAAAATTGAATGATGATATCGTAGGCCAGTCAAGCGTGGCTGCATCGACGAAAAGCGGCACAAGCAGCGGGATATCACATCACTGTGACAACGGTATGACTATTACTTGTTTAATTCGTTGTTGTTTTGTTTACATTCAAACATTATTACAGCTTGTCTGCCACTAGTTCGCATTTTTTTTTTCATCATCGGTTTGTATTGTGTGCGCTGCTTGAAATTCGATCATTAAAATTTGTCCATGCTCAAGAAATCTCGTTCGGTTGTTGGTTGTGTTCATTTAAAAATTGATGAGAGACATTTAATATTTGCAATTCAATGGACGCTTTGTACATGTGACCATTTGCAAATTGTGCGCTGTTTTAGTTGAATCGATTTCATTTTATCACTCTAGAATTTTACATTTTTCATGTTTGCTATTTTGTTCATTGTTTTTTTTTCTCTTCAAACTCTATGCCCATGAAAACCAACTCTTTTTAAAGTCGACACGTACAAAACGAACGAACGATCGAGCGAATGCAATGCAAATCGTCAAATTATTCGAAAAATCAAACGAACGCATGTTTATGCAAAAACGAATAAATTTAAACAAAACAACAAGCCACAGAACAAATACGTCTAGATGCAGCAACAAAACCCGTACGAACCGATTAACTCTTTCTGACGTTTGTAACGAGCGTTCAAGCGAACACACGGACGATGTGTGTGTGAATATGAATACGGGCTAGAGAGAAAATACTACTTACAAATCATAAAAATAACAATTTTACAAAGCAAAACACACAAATTCAGATGGTTTGCAAATGTTAAGGGCATATTTATTCCGTTGTTATTGTTGATGATTTCCATAACGACTCTTCTAAAAGCACTGAACGTCGGGCCGCATATGAATCGCTTGAAACATGTAATTTCACACACAGCACGCCAAAGCAACAAAACCAGTCAAAATGAGGCCTGGGAAGATGTGCATATATATCGTTTTTGGCCTTAAACAAATATGACACATTTAACGAATACGCGAGTGAGTGTGGCATTTTTCGGTCGGCAAATGATCCACATTACCATTGCGACGATGATGCAGATAATTGCCTACGAAAATAAGTTCAAGTGTTCTAGTTTGTGGCGGAATAGGCGAATAAAATCATTTTTAACGGGAATCATTTGGCATAAATTTAAATGGCAAATTCAAAATGCCAACATTTTCGCGAATAAATTTCGATGAGTGAACAAGCGAGTTAAGCGAACGCGTATTCAGTGGCTGTATGGTGATTTACAAGGAGATGCATCGCAAACGCTCAACGAATATTTGTTTATGTTGATGTAAAACAAGATCAATTTTTGTTTGGTCTGAGGTGGTCCTTTCCAATTACCTCAATGTTTTGCCGTTTTTTTTTCTTCTTGCTCATAATCAAATAAAACCGCATATTTTACATGCGAAACGTTTCGTATGAAAATATATATAAATAGAGAAGAAAACAACAACGTATCAACAAAAAAGACGAGGAAAAACACTGGCACGCCAATTTCGCCTTTATAAATAAGCTTAACTAATTCTAGTCAAGGCTCTGGCGGTAATTCGTGCTGTTTTTAATTTACTCAGCTCTTTTTCGATTATGACTTAATGGCCATAATAAATGTCTTCAGTTTGATAGCTAAAGTGGTGCTTTCGGTTCGAAATTTAGATGCATAGTGACGGCAGCGGCGGCAACGGTGACGACGACGATGACGACCACGGCCAGTGGAAACATGCACACAACGCGCACAGAAATCGTTATCATAATCTACAAGTAACATACCGATTTATCCGTGTTTTTCATAATTCTTGTTGTTTTTGTTGTTTTGGTGCTCTCCACCGCCGCCGCCGTCATCGTCGCTGCTACGACCACAAATCATATGAATCTCTCGCTCTGTGTGCATAATTTCGGACGATTCGCGGCGAACCACAAAAAACCACCAGACGAGTATATGATTTATAGAAAGTCTCAGGTAACTGTTCCTAGGCGCACAGTTCTCAGTTTTGTTTTGTATTTTTCTATCCCTCGCTCGATCTCACTCTCGTGCTTAATTTACATCGTAAATTATTACGTTTGGCCAAAGAAATCGGTTCAGTTTTATTCATTTCGACTCTTGGCAAAAAATTGCGTGCAAAAAAGGGGGAAACAAATCAGCTCTCACAAACAAAGTGTGCGCTTCATTCGAAAACTTGGGTGCAAAATAAAATCTTCATTTGATGAAGCCGTATTTTATACGACCGAAAAACGTATAATATATTTTCCATTTCCATCCACACAATTTATCATTTGACATTATTTATTGACTTTTAATAGTTTTTAGTTCATAAATAATCAACAACCTATTCGAATCTCCTCGCGACTATTGCATTGTGCGGCAGTTGTAATTTCTCACGAAAAAAAGCAAACAGCATCGACATTCTTTCTCCTAGTTTGCGAAACACGTTCAATGAGAGGCACCAATTCAAACAGTCGATCGAGTCACATGCCGTCGTACTTTTTTTTCCGCATCGAAAATGGCAATTTAATCAATTGATTGTTTCATTTAAATCATCATCAGTTCAAGCATCACCATACAATTACTATGCAGGGCGGTTTTCGTTAGGCGAAAAATAATGGTCAATAGACTATGTGAAATTTTATTGATTCGTCGCCAAATGGCTGTTTTTCTAGCTGATGCCATTTCAATCAATCAATTGAACAGATTTCAAAATCGGTGTCGCGTCAATGCAATAAAATTCTCCACTTTTTTCACCTTTGACAATGACAACATGATGAAATCGTGTGATCATCACTTAAATTTTTTTTTCGTTGGTGTGAGTGCAGTTCAGCTGGCGTTTAAATGGCAAATGACATCTCATTAGAGCCAAATAACTCTGTCACATTGGAGCCAAATGTGTGATCAAAACAATATGGAAGTTCGTAAAGTGTTTCGAAAAAAAGAATTGCGCATCAAATTCACGTCATCTTCCAATGATATACAAGTGGAAATTTGGTTGAACACTTTTTCTCCCTGTTCACCCAATTCATTAGGTTATCTAAAAAAAAAATCAACTTTTATTCAAACAAATTGAATTAAAACGACTTAAATATTCACATAAAAATGCTTTTATATTAAATCACACGTCAATTGTTTGTAGCCATGAGCGATATAGCCCGTTTCAGTCGGACGAGTCGATGTGAATACATACGGAGTTTATGTAATAGAAACGGACAGTGAGAATATTTTGCGTATTTACCATAGAGAGAGAGAGAGAGCGAGAGAGAGAGAGAGAGAGAGAGATGCGACATAAGAAAAATGAACGATGTAATTATGGGCTCGGCGCCACTTAATCAGATAAATTGTTCTCACTAAACAACATTGAACACAACGAAAAGGGAAACAACTGACGAGAACGCGAGAGTTATAATAAGAAATAAACAAAAATAAAAACCATAAAGAATTAATTTTTCACAGTGATGAATTGCTCGCTTTGTCATGGTGCATCTTCACGTCATCGCAAAGTTGCAAAAATGCGCATTGAGACGGCCTCGAGCCACGTGCAAAAGATGTTTAAAAATAGAAAACACTTAGATGATTCTTCTGAAGGTGGTTTTTTTTCTCACTCTGTTCGGTTCTTACAGCAGTGAGAGAATATTTCAAAGCAAATCAGTTGTGTTTTTTTTTTCATTTGGGAACTACCTATTGCACACGTGTGAAGGAGGTTCCCTTGGCAACCTTAAATGATGCCATTTCATTTTTTTGCAAACACTGACATTGTGATTCAATTTACGGCCTCCTCCATGAGCAATGATGAGCACAAAATTTGAATATTTCATGATTTTTTTAAATGGATGTTGCCCGAATGATTCCGTCAGAACGGTGATTCGGTTCTTTTTCCGCCCGCATCGTCCGTTGCCAGCGGGAAAAAAATACAACGGGTCCATCTCAAAGAGATGAGAGCGAACGGGCATATCACCGACGAGGTAAAATATGATATAATGCATCAGATTACGCATGCGATGAGAGTTGAGTTCAGTGAACACAACCTTCGTCAATGCCGAAAATGAGCCCGCCGGCGAACCGAGCGCATTTACATTTTCATTTAGTGATTTTTCATATTATTCTTTTAACAGCATCTTGCTCTCCGCCTGTGCACCGTGTCAGTATTGTGGCTGCATCGCAAACTGCCCATTTAGCAGTAAAACCATTTGGCCAGCTCGACCTTTTCCATCTTTCTTTCATTGCTTGTCCGACTGAAAGAAATTCGATGCAAAAGAATCACAAGAACAACGAAAAAGAGAACAACACATTATCTTACCGTTTTGAATCGTGCCACACAAAAATATGAGAGCCGTGCAATTTATGCTGATACACTTTGGCCAGTCGTTGTTGCGATGTTGTGTGTAAGCGATGAGCGCGTATGCTTGCCCATCTCACCGTTTATCACGGAATTTTGTTTGTATTCTGGTTTTTCGTGTCGATTCTTTCATTTCACCTCACCTGCTGCTTCTTTGGCACACACACACACGGACACCGGAGAAAAAAAAAGCGAAGAAACTCGGAAACCATGCCAAAGTTGAATATTCCACACAATGGAAACAATGTTTGGTATTCAATTTCATGACACCATTCACAAAGCACACAATGAAATCGTGTCCTTTGGTGCATTTCTCTGTGCCTCTCTCTCTGCGCTGCCTCCCTTTTGTGTTGCGCAAGAAAAAGAAACGATCAATGAACTGACTTTAAAACACGCAAGAATTAATTAAAACATAAATTTCATCGAACGAAATATTCATGAAGAGACAAAACAAAACGTGATGAAAAGAACATTCTTCTCTGCCGCCTTTTGACTTTGGCCAATGTTTCTCGTTTTTTTTTTGCCCGCCTTGTTTGTCCACCTGTAGAAATCTTTGTCATGAAATTGATTGCTAATGAATTCCATGAGAAAGCGAGAGAAAAAACGTGTTAATTTAAACAGAGGTCACACAGCGATTTCTTTGTGTTCGCCTTTGAAAAGGTGACACGAATATCGTCATCATAATTGTAGCTAATTGGATTATTTGTTTGACTTAAGATTTGCGCGATGCGTGTGTGCGCGCGAGCTTAAGCAGAATAAAACTCAAAACCAAGGCGGAAACCACGCGAATTGACCGATTACCACACCAGTGCGTGACTTTCGTTCACGCTTTTCCAAATCCGATTTACACAATGAAATGCGTGTTCTGTCCATAATAATGTTTATTTTTAGAAAGGCATACGCATGTAAACAATGTTCGTGCTTTTGTTTTTGAAATAATTTCGAAAACGAAGTCATGCTGCGCCGAAACAGAGAGAAACAACTGAAAGAAAGCATCATTGGATTGGAATAGGTCATCTCCGGCTTTCCTACACATTTCAACCGTTTGTTGAGTGAGGGAAATGGCATCGCTTTTTCTTCTGTCTATTTCCAAATATTTTCGTTTCACATATGATTTCAAACTGTTCGCATTGAACGGGACATTTCATTTTTTCTTGTCAAGTCTGCAATAAAAAAAAGGTATGACAACTCAATTTGTGTCATAAATTTCCGACGAAAAGACACTTCATCTCCAGACCGACACTAATTTTATTTCCTTTTGAAGGCCCTGTTTTTTACACGCATTTCAATTCCTTTTTTTCCATGTTTTTCATTGCGTTTCGTTTCGGCATAAATGTTCAAAGGCGCCAAAAGATATAAATACCCGAAAACCCACCGTGACAGTAAAAACATATTTGAGATTAGTTTTTTTTTCTTTTGAAGTATTCGTAACAGAACTGTTGAGAATTGTTTCTTCGATGAAAACTGTTGAACCTATCTTCTTGAAGCAAAATGACAATTTCTTCTTGAATTTTCTTTTGTGTTTAACAATTTCTATCGGATAATAATGATGTTTTCTCCTATTTCAGCAGGAAAAGGCGATAAAAGAGCTAACGACGGTGCGGGAATTGATATGGTTGACAGCAGCACTGGCACTAGTTATTGTATACAACGACCGGAAGAGGAAACAGTTATGTTGTTAAAAAATGACGAGCGACGGCTGCCAAATTCAAGCAAACGCAACGATAAGCAAACAAACAGCGATGCAACCGTAACATTTGACAAGCATCAGAATAATTGTGATAATTTACGAGAAAAGATAGCAACAAACGATAACAAAATCGGTGGTGTCAATAGCAGGGACGGTGACAACGGCGACGACACCAAGGCACCGAAAAAAACTGGCGATGATTTATTCGCTGACGATTTTGACGAGGATCCATATGCCGAGCTGCAATCATATTTGGACAAAGTCAAAGTGAGTTTTGTGACATTTGTTCATAATTTTATGCTTGGAAACATGAAAGACGAAATGATTTAAGACGAATATCAACATTGAAGAAGACGTTTATCTCATCATGAAACTCTCATGAGATTCTCACATGAGACAAGATTTTATTTTGAAAGAAAAATAAAAAAACACCCAGTGAAAAATGTGTCCAATTTATCTAAAATGACTGAAAACACTTCTTTTGACGTCAAAATGATGCATCAGTTGGGTGTTTTTTTCTCTGTTCATTTCTCAACGGTGATCGTGAGCAATAGTTTCAGTGATACCCATGGCTAAAATTACTCGTATTCATTTCAGCATCTCATTCTTCCTGTGACAAATGCGACACAATGTCAGCTGTTGATCCATCTAAATTTCAATCGCATACACACAACAACAGAAAATGCAGTACTTAAACCAATTCTACGGCTTGATCATTAAACCACTTGAAAATGAGTCTTTTTTGAACAAAAAAAATCGGGCCTTGTATGAGAGACAAACAGCCGTTCGCATTTTGTTCATTTTGCGGTTTATTCATACACACAAACCGTTTATGGTGCCACACACACACACACACACACACACACAAAACAAAATGCAAACACAACCGAACAAAACCATACGAAAAGACCCAAACAACGACCAAATAATGCACATTTTTCAAGATAAAATGCCGCAGATTAAACAGAATAGAATGGAATAACAAACGATTAATTTGGAATGTGTTTTGTATTTTCTGTCGAATGCCACAAACAAAAATTAGATGTGCAAGAAAACGAATGCGTGTGTATAGAGACAGAGAGCCGCATGTCAAGTTGGTTTAGTCTTCATTTTTCGGTTTTTTTTTTACATATGCGATGCAGTTTTGCTACCTGCTTTTCGGGTCGAAAGGCAAATGTGCGAGAAACGCTTGCACACTGCACAGACGCCACACATGCACACCACTCGTTTATTATCAGTCCGTCGAACAAATTTTCAAATGTTACACATTGGTTTTTTTCCTTCTTCTTCTCGTTTCTTGCTCTCCACATTTGAAAATTTTCGTTTTCAAATCACCATGCCATTTCAATATGTCATTCATTCTGTTTTTTCCTTCCATTAGCGCTTGAGCAATCAAACATTATAATGTTGCGGTGCTGAAGCATGAACGATCACTCACTTGATTATTACTCGCGTTGTGAATGACGAAACGCACGATGCACAATGCCATTCACGAAAACATTACATTTGTCGAAAAGGAAATGAGAATGTATATAAACGAGTCGCAGTGAACTGAAACGTCACTGTGAAGGTGAACACGGGTCGAAACGAACGCGAATCATCGCTCTTTTTTTCTCGTTGTTCTTGTTTGTGTATACAAATCAACGTCATCAAATCATCATCGTTATCTCCTAATGTTATACGCATGCTGTTGTTCCGCCACATTATTGTCTTTGTTTTTGTTGTTGTTGTTGATTGCGTTTCTAAATTAAGTTTGAAACTGCATTAATGACAAGAGACAACCACGAAAAAAAAACGAGAAATGCCATTAAAATTCATGACACAACAATAGAATTTCAGTTTTCGAAAAACTGATTTTTCGTTCCCATCTGAATCAGCGAATGTTGATATATTTAATTTGGGCGGTCACAATGAACAATGACCAAAAATCATTGCATTATTCCGAGAACATAACAAAGAACCATTAATAAACCGCACAGCGAAAACACATTTTTGTTTGTTTGTTCATGTTTTTTGTTGGTGATAATAGACACGTTACGATCAACACCGAATCAACAGAAATGATCGATAGATTTTAATGAATGTCGAAGGTGTCTTTGTGATGCAGATCAATGTTCATAGTCATGTGAAGGAGATGAATACACGTTCATTATATTCAAATCGAGTTTTAGATCGTATTTGAAATGAATTTTAGATCGTACTCGTTCGAAGAAAATGAATTTTCAACCGAGTTTCAGGTATTGTGATAGAATTATTAATGCGTTTTCCTAGTTTGAACCATTAATTCAGTGTAAATCATTCATTTGAAAATATGTTTCAGTTTTTTTTTCCATTCCGAAAGAAATTTTTTTTATAGATTCGAACTGAGGATTGAGGTTGAAACTTCGATTAATTGGAAACAGAGTCAGTTGATCGACGTATAAAATCGATTGAGAATAGGCGATAAAAATGTAATAAGCAATGTTCAACCCTCGCGTTAATTAACACCAAATGTTACTCTCACTTTAATTACACAGCAAATAAATGGGTTTTACATCGCGATCACACTCAACATTCAACAAACGGGGCGATTGAAAGGTTCTCAGGTTCCCTTTTGTTCAAGAACCATTTCCAGGAGTTTGTCTATTTTTTTGTGCGCGCGACTCGTTCATTGCACGATTTCTACACAGTTCATTTGTTTCAAAAGCGTCAATTTGAGCAGTGTTAGTCATACATGGCTTGGATTTGAGTGCAACAATTCCAGTGAAAACGAAAAAAAAGGTTGAAAATGAGAATATATATCAGAGATAATTGCTATGGATGCAGCTGGCAGCTAAATATACAAGGGTAACTTCATTTATTTACCCAAAATGCACGTGCCTATCATACCACGCGGAATCGTTCGTTCTTTCTCTTTGTATCACGCGCGTCGCGTAACATACGATATTTCTTCCATTGGATTGTTGTAATTTTTGAAATATTGTTTATAGCTTCTGTGCGCGCACATTTGATTCCGTGTGTTTCTTTGTGAAAAACGTCATCGTTAGGCAACAGACTGCATGTTATATCATGCGTTTCAGCAGTTGGTTGGCAGTGAAAGCAGAAAAACGTTTCGACACGAGCATAAACATATTTGATCAATTCTAAAATTACACATCCATACGAGCATTTTACCAAATAGATCATATTATTTTTGTTTTCGTCCGTTTTGGTGTTTCTCTTTCTTTCCGTGCAAGTTCCGATTGTTGCAACAGCAACTGCAACCATTACACCATCTGTGGGTGTGTGTGCTGTTCGATCGTTTATGGAAACCTCAACAAATGAATCCATCAAATTGTATGCGTACGCACAAACAAAGACCATAACTAGGTAACGTTTTAAATGTGATCTCACTGACATAAGTCAATTTTCAATGTGCATTCGTTTAAAATGTCCATTGAAAATTTCAGATTTTAAACCGTTTGCATCTATGGCAACAACAGCAAAGGAGAAAGAAGAAAGCAACAGCAACAAAACAATCCAACTGGTCATGTCTCTATATCAATTGGAATACAATAAAAACGAGAGTGCCATTTTAATACAAAAAAGGATTGATTTACTATCTACTTTTATTGAAATAGTAGCATTGACAACAGCAAACCAAGTAGTTAGAGAGAGAAATTGAGAAGCGTTGAAAAGAAACGGCTTTTCGATTTTGAATTGCGAACGAAATATGTCGAATGCAATTGTCCATATCGATAAAAATGAACGATAGAGGGAGAGGGAGAGAGAGAGAGAGAGAGAAAGTGCGGGAGAACGAGAGACATGCACAGAAATCACTCGATTCCGTTTGCGATGTGTACATTTTTCGGATATTTGTCCATTTATAAAATGTGGGAACTGCCTAATGTCGCACCACCACATTCGATACGCAAACAAATCGCCGTGTGATGTGAAAGTTATTTTTATGACCTTTTCCCAAACACTTTTTAGTACCAAACACATCACAATTATAGAATTATTCGATATGGAATGTAATAAAGTGATAGAAAGCAGAAAAAAGCAGTAAATATATGTATTAGGCTGAATAAACGGAAAAGGCATGAAGAAATTCAATCGTTGTTGGCCAAATAACTTCATAATCCAACGGACATAAAACAGCATTTGCACAGCCGCCATAGCAAGAATAGCAATAAACGAAAAAAAAAATCCATCCATTTTGGTCCTACACTAACAGAGAGAAAAGAAAATATAATTGAATTTTTTTGTTAATAACATTATTTCCTTCCTTTTGTGTTGTCACTCGACGGAGTCGGAGTGAAAATATTCAAATTTCGGTCGTCATTTTCAATTCAAACAATTACACTTCAATTTCGTTCATACGTTTGCATGGAAAGTGAATAAGCGTGCGAGAGCAAAGAGAACACGCAAACACTGTTCAAATGAATTCATTTCTCGCAGTCAGAGTAAACAAAAATGTTGTATGTTTTTGTCGACATAGAAAATAACGGAAAAAAATAACCGTTTTTTTCGCTGATTTTTTTTTCTCCCAGTTCATAGACGTCATTTTCGGTTTTTTTATTTTCATTTTCATTTCTCACTATTTTCCTAATGCCCTTTGTGTGTGTGTGTGCAATGTGCATTCGCATAGTTTATATATTTTTATATTCATCGCGTCTATTTGGTTGCTATGTGCTTTGTGCTCACTCTATCACAGTTCTTTTTTTCGCTGGTTGATTTCGTTGGTACCCGAAGTGAACTGGCTTTTCGACTGAGCACTGCCTATAAATTTCCAATGCGGATGTGAAAACCATACGGTTTCGGCCGGTTTTTTCCCACTTTTGTTCCGTTTGCCATGTGATGACAATTACACATTGCAATCGCGAAAAAAAAACTGTACCACTTCGTTTAGCGACTCAAACGAAAAGCCCATTTCAAAGTCAAATGAAATAAATTTCTCCAATGGATAATCCAAACAATTGCGATTGAGTGAATAGTGTTCCAATTGTGTGAGTGAGCTGAATAAAAAAAGAATTGTCATAGATTTATTCTTTATAGGTTTTTGTTGTTTATGGGATGGCAGTGGTTGCAATTCTATGAAATTCTGTTTGTGGTCAAACAAAGCTGTTTTTGTGCATGAGTCGATCGAAAACCGCAGCAATGTATGGAGAGCATTGCGTGCGTGCTGAATGGAACACGGCATCTATTTAAGAGTGTGTGTCCAGAGAGATAAATGAATCAGCATTGCCGCCGCCGCCGACGCTGCCATCATCGTCGCTTAATAGCTTTTTACCTTTTTGGCATCAAAA